CTTGTTGGTGTTGGTGTCGCACTAAGCGCTACAGCTGAGGCAGCACTGATCGATTTGATCCCCATTAACAGTCGGTTATGTGCTGTTAGATTAGAGAGTTCCATCAAAGTGAGAAGAAATCGGCGTGAGAAACGATGTCTTTTCGTCATCTCCGCCTATGCCCCGACAGATTGCAGCCCGGATGCAATCAAGGATGAATTCTACCACCAGCTAACTGTTTTTCTCCAGAAAGTGCGTTCAACCGATATCGCAGTACTAGTCGGAGACTTGAATTTTCAGGTCGGGCGTCTAGACACAGAAGAGAGTCGTTTAGGCGGCCGATGGGGACTTGGTGGTCGCAGGACAGATAACGAGGACCGTCTACTGCAACTGTGCACAAACCACAACCTGTTTCTGGCTAGCACTAACTTCCAGCACAGTCATCACCGACGTGCCACCTGGCGTCCCCCCTCTGCATCTCAATCCTGGACTCAGATTGATCACATCGCGATCAGCTAACGCTGAAGTGGTTGTGTACAAGACTGCCGCTCGTTTTGGAGTACCTATCTGAACTCTGATCATGCCCTCGTCTGCGCCAATCTTACCTTACTTTTCAGTGGCCAACGAAGTGACCACCACCAATGGACTGACGTCAGCAAGTTGGTTGCAACTTCTGTTGCAAGTAAGTATTGAACCGAGCTAGCTTTTAGCCTAGCTACTATTCCACCGAAAAGTATAGATGAGCATTGGTTGCAACTTCATGACGCCATGAAAATAGCGAGTAAAGCCGCCTGCGGCTTCGCGAAACGTCCCGCTCATAGGCACTGGGTTTCTTCAGGCTCCTTACAATTCATCAAAGCCCGTCGGTCTAATCCAGGTGACCGTGAGTTTGACAACAAACGAAGGATGTTACGTAATGAAATCGGGTAAAGCTTGTGTAAGGATCGAGAAGTCTAGTGATCGGAGCGTGTTAATGAGCTGGAAGCAGCAGCTGCATATGGTAACTACCGGAAGCTCTTCCATCTCATCCGAGCGATTGGCAGCAAGAAGTCTGGTGTGAGCGAAACAATCTACGAGGATGATGGGATGCCAATCACTAACATCCATCGATGTCTTGGACGATGGGCAGAATTTTTCGAAGGGCAATTCAACTGGCCTGTTGCTCCGGCAACATCCGTCAGACTGTCCTGCCCTCCATGGCCGGTGACGACTGATCCACCAAATGAGACGGAAGTCCGCAAGGAACTCCAACTCTTGAAGCGCTACAAATCACCGGGCCCAGATGACTTACCTCCGGCCCTTTTTAAAGATGATGGTGACTTTATGACTAAGGAACTGACGACATTGTTTACAAAGGTTTGGGTGCTAGAGAGTGTACCAACGTCATGGAATGAGTCGATAGTTGTCCCTATCTTTAAAAAGGGTTCACGTCGTTCCTGTAACAACTATCGGGGGATAAGTCTACTTCCGATTGCGTCCAAGCTATTGGCTTCCGTCATACTTCGTAGGTTGTTCAAAAACCGAGAAAGATTGACTCGCGAGGAGCAGGTTGGGTTTCGTTCCGAGCGAGGATGTATTCATCATATCTCCACCCTCCGCCAAATGTTAGAACACTGCAATACTTATCAAAGGCCAACAATCGTAGTGTTTCTTGATTCGTTGGAAGGGACTGTTCTTTGGGATTGTCTATTGAAGAAGGGTGTGCCTGAGAAGTTAAATAACATCCTAAAAGCCCTATATAAAAACACCTCAGGCAGACTGAAGGGCATGCAACCACTTCTATATATTGTTCCATTCGAGCAGTGGGGTTAGACAGGGTTGCCCAATCTCACCATTCCACTTCAACTTCGCCATCGATGACATTCTGGAAACAGCTCTGATGGATGTAAGTAATGGTGGTATGGATCTGTTGCCTGGAGAAAGACTTCTCGACCTTGAGTATGCGGATGATATTGTCTTACTGTGAGTTAATGCTCAAGGCATGCAATCCGCACTCAATCAGTTGGCAATCAGTGTCTGTATGTATGGTATGTGCTTTGCACCTTCGAAGTGCAAAGTACTTCTACAAGACTGACAGGATTCTAATCCTGTAATCACTCTAGATGGTGAGCAGACAGAAGTAGTCGAGAAGTTCGTGTATCTGGGTAGCTGCATAAGTGCTGGTGGGGGCGTGAGTGATGAGGTCAATGCACCTATAGTGAAAGCCAGAGTGGCTTATGCCAATCTGGTCCATCTTTGACGCCTTCGTGATGTTAGTCTGAATGTAAAAGGTCGGATCAACAACGCGTCGGTGAGAGCAGTTTTGCTATATGCTTGTGAAACCTGGCCTCTCCGAGTTGACGATGTTAGACGACTCTCTGTGTTTGATCATTGCTGACATCCAGTAGCAACACCATGTTGGCAATGCAGAGGTTCGGCATCGTGTGTTTGGGCACAGAGACGATAATTCAATTGGTGTCACCATCTTGAAACATCGACTTCAGTGGCTTGGACATGTTCTACGAACGTTGTTTCAGAGAATTCCACGTCGTGCGTTAGAAAAGCGGAGAAGTGGTCAGTGTATGACATGGTGTCGTCGTATGAAAGAAAGTTACAAAGAGCTGGTTTCTGTTGGTCCTTCACGACTCCCTTGCTGGGGTCCGAGAGATGGTGCGACACAGTGGCTAGAGACCTTATCAGATATGGCTCAGAATAAAGCCAGTGGTGATCCTGCTGTAACCTTCTTTTACTTTCTTCATAAAAAAGTGGTTGTATATTCCTAAACTGAAAGAATTCTTCTGGTTGTACCTTCCCGTTTTCTCCATTATTCTTATTACTATTAATATTATTGCTTCGTGCAATTGGTTCCCTTTATGAATTTAAATAGAGCAAGAACAAACATTGATGCGGAATAGTATTAATTCATGATATTTCGAGGTTTCTCGTCAGTTGCTTACAACCAAAAATGTTATAGAATTTTTACATAGAGATAGTGTGAAGCAATTGACATAAATGAGTGTAAATAACTGAATTACAATAATAACTATATATATATATATATATATATATATATATATATATATATATATATATATATATATATATATATGCTAGAACAGGTCAGAGGTTAAAAAAAGGAAATAATTTAGGGTAGTTGGTGTGATATTTTAGTGAAGTTCATAAATTGTGATAATTTTAGCGGTTAATGGAATTAAATAATGATAAGATAGGTTACGTAATAATAATTAAATAGAATTTGAAAAGTTAAGATAATTTAAGAGGATCAGGTTGTGGAAATATGTGAATAAAATTTTGGTTTAAGAATTAGGTAATAGGGGAGGAGTATAAATATTTTAAAATAAATTAACGAATAAAATAACCAAACAAAAAAAACAAAAAAGGATTACCAGGGTAATGATAAGTTTATTAGTGTCTCTTTTTGAATGCATAAATCCGGTTGAAGTTTTTTGATCGCAATGGCTTCAGCAAAATGGAGAGTGGTCGTACTTCTTTGTCTATTGATAATTTTAAAAGCATGCAGAATGTTGACGGTATGCCCGGTGTCAAGTAAATGCCGAGCTATTGCGCTGTTGAAAGCCTTAGTCCCTCGCAGCCTCAAGTTCTTCGGAACGTGCTCAGAAATGAGGACATGTACTCTTCTCTCAGTTCTTCCAATGTATGTGCTATGGCACGTACATGTGAATTGGTAAATGCAGTTGGAGCTACTGAGGAAAGAGGACTTGTCGATTTTAGTTTGTTTCAGTGAGCAGTTCGTTTCCCATAACGTCGTCAGTTTAGCTGCCGGGTAGGACACTTTCAAAGCGGAATTTATTCTGTGATTGATAATTCCGGTGACTTCATCTCCTTTGAAGCGCAAGTATAGGAAACAGGTTTTCTTTTCCACTGTAACATGCTTAACCAATTGCCTATGTGAAAATGCATATCCGGAGAAATTCATCCAAAAATATGCTAATTAAGCAAGTCAATTGTTTCACACTATCTCTATGTAAAAATTCTATAACATTTTTGGTTGTAAGCAGCAGATGAGAAACCTCGAAATATTATGAATTCATACTATTCTGCATCAATGTTTGTTCTTGCTCTATTTAAATATCATTATTATTATTACACTACCTTACACTAATCTGGTGGTTATTGTTTTTTTCTTCTCTTCGAATTCTGACTGTTTTGTGTGACGCATATATATTTGGTGCCCTCTCGTACCAATATTTATGTTTTCAAATAAATAAATAATGAATAATCAACGTTTATTTTAAAATAAAGTTACAGTAGAAATAATTACATCAAACAGTCATCCACAAAAACTGAGAAAATTCACTACTACTAACCAGAATTCCTAGTTATTTTCGAACTTTTTATTGTCGTATAGTATAATTTAACACTGAATGAGTAGATAGCTTGACTTGGTAAAATGCTTCTATAACACCGACCACATTTAAAACGATTGGTTCAAAACTAGAAACAGCTTCACATCTAGGAAAACCCTCACTACGCTTTAGTTTAACATTGACCTATTTAGGTGAACACAAATACTTGTCAAAATTTGATACGTAAAATATGATCTGGATTTTGATGCGTGATTATTTTGGGAGTTCATCGTAAAATCTGTCATAATAACACTAGGGAACATTTGGATGAGCGAATGATGATTTTATCAGTGTGAAGTTGAACGGTAAGTGAAGACAGTTCATGATTCTTTTTCAAGCCATGAAATAACACAACTGACTCACTAGTTCAATTATTTACATACAACTAGGTAATTCGTTCACAAAATTTAATATTGCTGTATCAGTACCAAGATAAGAAAAGGTCTCCAGAATGAAACATTTGCAAGAGCATAAAAATCACATTATAAGCACTTTGAATGGGTGACCTTTGTTGACACCAGCTGTGTTAAAATGTATGTTGTAGTCTTGCTTACAAAGAACAAATTCATATTTTACAATCCCGTTCAAAAATCTGACCAGAAAGTTTTAAATCTTCTAATAAAGTAAGTAAATTCAAATAAAATTAAGACAAACCTCATGTTTGGCAAAGAAATCGGAAACTTCCAATATAGTTCTCAACTTCAATAATCGGATTAAATAGTTTTGCTATACAAAAGAATACAAAACGAAAAGAGCGGTAAATTCATGATGATAACTCCGAAAGTATGTTGAACATCACCAAACTGATGTTATCCATGCCATACTTTAAAAAAAGTATATGTACAATAAAGAAACTAAGGAATGTAAAATCTAATCCATGCCCTGTAATCACATAAAAAGTTTACGATGACGTGTGCTAATAATAGTGATCATCATTATCTTGCAATAAGAAACACTTACGAAATAGAAGCTTATTATGTAAATTTAAGTATTTCAGTGGTTAAAACACTCGGGTTCCAATAATTAGGTTGGAGGTTTAAATCAAATTACGTCCACTTCGATATGAGTTACCCAGTAGTATTATTAGTGGTAAGAGTATAGCATATGGACGAGCTTAAAGTAACCGCGATCAATTTTAGCCCGTTGTTAGTAAGTCACAAAATAGTTATCGTAAATAAATACTTTATGGAGCGGAAAGTGACATTACAGAGAGTACACAGATTTCGTATAGTAAATCAGAAAAACGAAAGCATATAAGTTGGTACATAAAAGTGGAGAACATTTTCTCAAACCCTTATAAGGACACAAAAGATCTTTAGGAGTTACTACATCGTTCATAGTTAAAGTAGGTTAAAGCCAAGAATCTAGGGTTAAAGTTTAGAGTTAAGGTTAGTGGTTTAGTATAAAAAACAACCATTCCTATATATTTAAAAAAAATGAAACAAAAACATCTAAACTTACAGCAATTATTTTACGGTGTTGTATGAATAATTTAAAGTGATTTATTATTTCATTCCATGTATGAGTGTGTTGAAAATCTTTTCGAGTGGATTCACCAAAAGTCTGAAATAAATATGAAAGAGCAGGGTTTGATGATTAGTTAACCTCAAAAACAATATCAATATTACAGTAAATCTGAAACCATGTAAATAAAAGTGATAGCAAATCAATTAATGACATAAGATATATTTTTCCTACTTGGCTGAAGTTATTTTTAGTCCCTAGTTAAAATGAAAAAAAAGTGGAATGGATCGAAAAAACAACAAAATCAAAAGTTATGAATGATAGGAAATGACTGGGAAATAATAAGTTATTTAATTTAATATGATGACATCATGTTAATCAGAAAAACGCAGACAATATACGTCATTGATTAGTTGTACAGTAAACTGATGACAAGTTATTACGTTTCTTTTATTGATTGCCCTTACGATGACAGTTAATTGAATTAAATGTGACCCACTAGAAATTTTAGCATACTATGTAAATAAGCCATTGAATAAATAAGAAGATGAACTTGCAGGGATTTCCCAAAATACTTTGATATATGTCAGCCAGTCAGCCATAGACAACATAGAGCCTTGGCACACATGTGCTTTAAATCAAACTCCTAATCAGAATCAGCACAGTGAGATGAAATTAACTAAATGGATAACAATGATAGTATCAATGACAGCTGAAGAGCATAAACCGGTCCTAAATGAAACAATGAAATGAAGGAATGAATGTAACAATAAATTAAGAAAGCCTTCACGAAACTAGATTGCTCCAAGTAGATGTTTAAAGGCATTTAGGATTCAATTACCAGACTGTTTTCATGACACTAGCCAGACGTAGTGGGAAACGCTGTGAAATTTATAACGAAAAAGTTTACCACAAGAATCGAAACTCAATTCAAGTTTACAAGTGCAGTAATAAATATCAAAGATTCTGTTAGATTTGATGCATTTGTACAGGTTAACATAACAAGTATCAATGTTACTCTTCGGGTTAAATCCATACACTCATTATGAACGGTTAAAGCATAAACATGTGTTTAAACTTAATTAGATTAATGAATTTCGGTTAGTTACGTAAAGGTTTGTATACTGAGCTATGAGAAACACTGTAAGTAAATGACCAATCACAATTAGCTACTCCTGCTGGAGTTACCATACTTAGTTTAAACCCAATGGTTGAGGTGAGGGTAAGAGATTATGGTCGGTGGTTGGAGATGTTGGGTGGCATGCTCCAGAATCAGTCGTGGTGGGGCGGATGCACTCACTATGTGTATTCACATAAACCCAGTTTTAAAATTATTTAGAAACTTTTATTCCGCGAATTTACTTTTCGTTTTAAATCATATCCCTCTACATGACATGGCGATTTGGACCGATATACATATGTGCCAGGTGTTATGTTGTTTATGACTGATTAGTTTAGATGTAAATAACGCAAAAACCACTAAACCACATGACATGAAATACTATACCTTGATTGCTTCAATGCGAAAACCATACTCAGCCGTTGAGCTAATTGTATCACGCCACTGCAAATAGCGTACTTTCGAAACACCTTTTTCACGATGTTCTTTTTCAGTCGGTGCATTAGGCGAAGTAGACATCATTTTCAAGTAGAGATCCTATTTTGTATTTATAAAAACAAGGTTAATAATCCCAGAAATAATAGATAAGAAAAATAAAACTAAACCTGTATTGATTATGAATAATTTAAAATGGTGCCAATTCAAAGGAAATGTTTTGAAAAGGTCTCAATATATTGTATCTAACAAGTATTACCGAGAACTATTTTTTGGAAAAATATGAATTATTATTGCTGGATTATTAACTGTTGATATGTCTAAGAGGTTTATTAAACACACAGCATTTCATTGCATAATTGTAAAAAATGTGGTGTTAAGCGATAAAAAACATTCAGTTTCATTGGCTATATTATACGGGATACGAATCAAACAATTTTGAGGATCCTGACTAATAGAAGATATAGTACTTCAATATTATATCAGGTTTATAATATTAGTAGCTCCAACTACGATGCTGTAAACAATTTGCAACCCTTTTGGTATGCCGTTTTGAAGTTGGAAAACTACAACCATCGTATTTGAGTATAAAAACAAAAATGTCAGTTTGTGATGCGAATTTATACAGGTCGATTATTCGATTTATTTTATTTGAGAGATACGAGAGAAGAAATACGCTTCAAAATATGAACGGTCTGTTGAAGATTTTGCCCCACTCCTACCATACTGTTAACGGTAAGCGAAAATACTCTTTAACGAAAGACCTGGAGCAATCATTATATTCACACCACATAAAATAATAGAAATGAACTTACGTTTCGAATATTTTCTGAAGAGTCTCTAATGACGTCACTTTCTGAAAAAGTACGTTGTCCAATCTTGCAGTCCATTACTGATGGTGATTTAAAATTGTACAGCAAATCCTGCATTTTTACGTAACCTTTGAATATATTGTGTTAAGAAATGAATACAAGTAATAAAATACACATGTTTGAAAAGGACTAATAATTTATTTACCTGCAACACTATGAGAGTCAGCTCTCCCTCTCGAAATGCTCTCACATGTCCATGAGTATGCAGTCACTGCCGGGGAAGTCCTACCCACTGCTTTCTCGCTGCAGGGTTGTTGCTTACAAAATTGCGAGGACGTAAAGCGAATGTCCGGCGCTTTAACCGGGTTGGTGGATATGGATGACCCACCTAGGGGAGTTGGAAAACCCTGATTTAAAACCAATGGTCACATGAGCTCCAGAGCCTTGAGGGGACAAATGGCGTATGAATCGTTTGTTAGTCACTGACTGCCATAAGAATGCATATTTTAACGTTGCTCCACTGCCTTGTGGATTAGAACTCTAGGTCTAAGGCTCAGGGAGTGGCCCCCCTAAGAAAACTACCTTCTTCGGTTTGGGCGTCCGTGCAGTATTTCAGCCCTCACGTGAATCGAATGATTTGTGTGGCCTTTATGTTTTTGATGCCTCCTTGTACCAACGTTTATGTGTTTAAATAAATAAATGTATGTTTGCACCTTAGATCGACTTGTACCTATTATTCGACGACTACAGATAATATCAAATTTAAATAGATGGTGGAGTAAAACATATCAATTTATGGTTAAAACTGGAGCACCCAGCAAACTACTCAGCCGAAAACCCAATCATAAGCACATAATATAGCTTCTAATAAAATCCTCTAAGAGGACTGGTTTAGCTGGGTGAAATTACTGAAGTCATTAGTTTACACAAACGTATAACAAAAGAATATTAGTGAGTGAGAATAGTGACTCCCTTTGATCATTTAGTTTGCTTTCGTCAGCAAAAACCAATTACACCAAAAAGGATACGTTCACCATCGAGCAGCTTTTCGCCTTGATATTTAGGGACAAATGATCTGAGTATATCTAGCTGGAGTTGTAGTAAACATTGGGCTTCACTTTGGCAATAACGTTTTAAAACGCTTCCTTTACCATTAGATATTAGGCTACCTAAAAAATCATTAGCAAAAAGTAATTGAAAGTAATATGCATTTGACCTTCAATTACTTCAGTGTTATCTAAAGCATATAAAAAACACGAGAGGTCAATCAAAGGTGTTCTGCATTAAAAAATTGAAAGATTCGCTTATTTTCCGCATTAATTAGATGAATGAGGTTTTTTATTAAGTTCTTCAAATGGTAAACATACAAGGTCAAAAACGATGACATGATGTCGGGGTACGAAAGCTGAAAAGGGCTGGCTTCTGTTGGTCCTTCACGACTCCCTGGCTAGGGTCTGAGAGATGGTATAATACAGTGGCTAGAGACGTTATCAGATATGGCTCAGGATAGAAGCCAGTGGCAATCCTGCTGTAACCTTTTATTTTCTTCATAAAAAGTTGCTGTATCTTCCTTAACTGATAGAATTCTTCTGGTTGTACCTTTCCGTTTCCCCCATTATTATTATTATTACTACCATTATTATCATTACACTACCTTTCACTAAACTGGTCGTTATTGTTCCTCTTTTCCTATTTTGAGCTCCTTACCTTCTTTTTTCTCTTCCCATTCTCATCGTTTTGTGTGGCGCATATATATTTGGTGCCACCTTGTACCAATATTCATGCGTTCAAATAAATAAATAATTTCACTAAGGAATTTCAACCAATTCGTTTATTTTTATTAGATTCGTTTTAAATTAACTTCCAAAATAAAGAATCCCACAAACTGAAGCAGTTTCTTGGATTAATAGGTTGAAAAATATAATTTGTTACTACGATGTAATTGCTTTATTAAGGTATTCGCCAAAAACAAGGCAAAATTAAACCTTCAGAATCCTTTGTAATGTGAAGTGGGATATTGGAACTTCATCAAACCATAACAATATATGTACGTAATTTTAAACCTCGTATTATTAATTCACTGAAATCCCAGTTGTTTATCAGTGTTTTTATTTGAGTCAATTTCATGGCTCCAAACTGATCAAACGTGAAAAAACACCAACTTACAAATAAATTACAGACACAAATTAGGAAGCTGTACAAAAGTTTACCCAGGCTTACTTATGCCTTGCATCTAACTTTCATGATATCAAGAAATCTACCAAATAAGAATTCCAATCGCATCACATAGAAACAAGATGGTATAAAATAAACACATTTTCAAAACAATTTAAGTACAGACAATAAAAGTAGATATATTTCCATATTGCATTTAAAAATACAAAATTTATAAAATTAATAAGAAAACGAAATAAATTTCCTTGGAACTACGATAACACTCCTAAAACTGAGAAACTAAACTCGTTTGTTATTATCAGACGAGTATCTCAGTGTATCTGATAACAATAAGCAGGATCAAATTTTTTCATGTCAAGTACTCATTTCTTAGTGCAGCATAACTCCATGTACGTACTTTTTTAGTATTAACAATTCCTAAAAGGAAGGATAGCAAATAAAAGGGGAATTCTCAAAAAAGTGATATTTGTTCAAAACACTGACAAGCTATCTCGCTGTTCGAAACTAACCTTGATGACCAGACAGTTGCACCCAGCAGGTATTTGCTTGTTTTGCTTTACTATTTGGAGTCCATGATAATGGTTTCAACAAGTGCGTCTTCCAGCTCCTCTTACCTAATTTTACCTGGATAAAAAGTCGTAAATAAAATAATCTAAGGACTGATAACATTTGACATAGAAACCACTGATTACTATCTATACCAAGTAAGGCATATATGTACATCGGTCCAAGTTGCCATACCTCATTAGCACAACAAGATAAACACCAGATTCATAGGAGTAGTTAAGTCAATGATGGTAATATATAAAAGAAAGATTGCATATAGGGACATGGTACAGGAAGAAAAAATTAGTTCGTAGAAAGAAAGATATGAAGCGATTTTAATCTCATAATTTAAGTGAAGACAAAGAGTTTACACACCTACGCCAGTGTGATCGATTCTGAGCCATGTCACCCAGAGCCTCCAAGCACTGTTTACGATAGTCACGCGGACCCCAACCAAGTAGTCTGCATTTACCAACATGGCTAAGACTAGAAGTTAGTGACTTCAAGCACTGTTGCCACGTTTTGGTTTAGCCACCCCTAACTTTTTTCTAACCATCACTAGGACTAGTCAGCATTGAGCGTCATGGTAATCGGTGTTCAGGCATACGTAACACGTGACCCAATAATCTCAGTCGATCAAGATTCACAACCTCATCAATTGATTTACCATCATTCCCCAATACCTTGCGTCGAACCTCACTATTACCTACCCGGTGATCTCAACAAATACGAGCAATATTTCTAAGACATATGTGATCAAATGCTAGTAACTTACGAGTATCCTCCATTATTAATGGTCACGTTTCGCAGCCGTAAAGTAGAACGGAACGAACTGTTGCGCAGTATACTTGTCCTTTAATTGATAGACGGATATTTCGCCTTCGCCATAGGTCACGTAAGTTGGCAAAAGCCAAACGAGCTTTTTGAGTCCGTGCTGAGATTTCGTCAGACACCAACCCATTAGGGCTGATCAGACTTCCAAGATAAGTGAAGTTATCGATGCGTTTGACCACTTCACTCCCTATCCTTAGTTCAGGTGTTGACGCAGGCTAGTCCTGAAGCAACAACTTGCATTTAGAAGGGGAGAAATGCATTCCCGAACACCCTAACATTATTTCTCAGTGCTACCAAAAAACACTGCATCTTATCAGCGTCCTCACCAAACAGGACTATGTCATCTGTATATTCTAAGCTGATAAGTGAACCTCCTGGTAGATCAATGCCCAAAACTTCAGTCAACGAGAACGCTATTTCTAACATTATCTCCGTGATGAAATCGAACAAAAATGGAGATAGTGGACAGCCTTGAACGGCACCACTTGAGGTTGCAAATTCATATGACAGTCCGCCATAAGCTCTGACTCGACTAGTAGTGTTCGAGTAAAGAGCCTTCACAGGGTTTATGTACTTCTGAGGTACGCCTTTCAATGACAGACATTGCCGCAGAATCTCGCGGTCTATGGATTCAAATGCTGCTTTTAAGTCAAGAAAGACCATTGCCGAGCCACTCCCCGAACCTTTGACCTAGAGTTCTAATCCACAAGGCAGTGGAGCAACGTTAAAATATGCATTCTTATGGCAGTCAGTGACTAACAAACGATTCATACGCCATTTGTCCCCTCAAGACTCTGGAGCTCATGTGACCATTGGTTTTAAATCAGGGTTTTCCAACTCCCCTAGGTGGGTCATCCATATCCACCAACCCGGTTAAAGCGCCGGACATTCGCTTTACGTCCTCGCAATTTTGTAAGCAACAACCCTGCAGCGAGAAAGCAGTGGGTAGGACTTCCCCGGCAGTGACTGCATACTCATGGACATGTGAGAGCATTTTGAGAGGGAGAGCTGACTCTCCCCACCTTCTGCCGTACCAGGACTTTTGAGAGCAATTTAAATTTTGATCGCCCTCATTAACTTCCTTCATGATTAGTAACAACAGAACTTCACAAATCTGCTCGGCTATAAAGTAAAGATTTTACGAATAGGTAAAGGAATCATAAATGTTACTAGTAGATTCAGTAAAAAATTCGTTACCTACGAAGTGCTTATCAATGAAATTTTATCATAGCGGAACAGCAAAGCAGTGGTGCAACTTGTGTAGCATATACAGCATAATAAAACGTCTATCTAACAGTTCATTTTGGATTTCGTTTTCCAATGTCTATTTTACTACTAATGTAGAAGAAAAACGGCGAGACTCTAATTTAGAGACGAGCCAATCAGAAGCGTTTGAGCAATTTCAAGGTCACGGAGCCAAGTTCAACACACGATGCTAGCATACGACCGATTCACAGCGGATTTTAAAGGTGATTAATGAAAGGTTACAACAGATGGGACGGCGAGACTCTAATTTAGGGAAGAGCCAATCAGGACCGTTTGAGCGATTTCAATTATTAGCCAATCAGAAGACAGAATAAAGTAAAAATATATTAAAAGAAAGTAATAAATTACAATGGATATTTTTCTTTTACATGATTTAAGAACTCGTATGTTTGCATCCTAACCCTAACCTTAACCCTCACCTAACCCTAAACCTTGACCCACAACTAACCCTAACCGTATGTTAGAATCCTGATCCTAACCCTAAACCCTAACCTAACCCTAACCTTACCTGTAAACCTAACCCTAACCCAATGGACGAGTTTCTATTCCATATGCATTATGAATTCAGAACCTCTGAACCTTAATCAAACCTTAACAAGTATTTAAATCATGTAAAAGGAGAATATCCACTGTAATTCATTACTTTCATATAATATGTTTTCGCTTTACACTAACTTTCTTCTGATTGGCTAATAATTGTCACGGTCACTTAAGATTCGTTCAAAGGTCGTCCCTAAATTAGTCTCGCCGAAAAAACAAAACTATTATGGGATAACTTTTAGTTCTGGTTGAGACATGTTCTGAATGAAAATTGCATGAATATTAGGTTCTAATCAAGCTGCCACTATGGTAGGCCAGCAGCCATCGTAAATTTCATTCAGCCATAATGTTAAATGATCACCTCTGCCTCCACCATGTGACATGATAACAGATAACACTGATAAATTATTTTCCTCACCAACGACAGAAATGGAAAAATCACAAAGTGAAACTTAGCTAATCTGTGAAATAATTCAAGTTGAAAATGGACTTTAGAACTAGAGCTTGAGTATTGAACAATTTAAAATGTTTACTGAGCATACTATGATTTCATGTTAACATTGGGAATAAGAATCTCGTAAATTTTTAATCAGTGTGCGAATACACAGAGAAAGCGTTCTTATTCTATAACTGCATGTTGGTTCACGCCCTGAGCTTTGAATCGGAATACCAGATATTCTATACATCAAATGAAAAAACTTCTTGAGGGATAAGGATTTGCGACTGGACTAGTCCAGACGTAACTGGACATCCCGAGCTAGACAGCAATAAGAACACAAATATTGGAGTCATGACACAGTATTTGTTCCGAGATAAGTTGGAACAACGATTTCTTAAGTCGTCCTGCTAACAAGATGCCGGTCTTCATGACTATATGATCACACATTCGAGATACCAACAATAACAGTGAAATCATCAGTCGTTTATACGAACCTAACCCCACAATTAATTTCAGACACGACTAACCATTGCTTGGCCATCCAGATACTAACATATACAGTCTCAGTATGAAGTTTATATTTTATAACGAAAGCTCCCAAAATATGTTTACATGTAGGCGATAAAATATTCTTCACTTTGAACAAATTAACAGAGAATGAGAGTGGAATTCTCTACAAAAAATTGTGTTTCCAGTCATTAATTACTAAACAAACGAGATAAATCACCATTTATAAACAGCTGTTTATAAATGGTATAACTACTAGTAGTCGTGACTACATAAAAAATTTCAAAACTTACCATTTGTTATTATTCATCAACAAAATGCCCATTTACACCCATAAAATACACGATCAGATCAAGGATATGATTTCAAAATGTCTGCACCACTAGCATGATTACGCAACAACCCAAAACTTTAAGAAACGTATGCTTCGAACATTGCGCTGGACAATATACAATTCAAATTCATTCAGATGATGTATCAATAGTCTCTAACTTCAATCTCTTGTTTGAGAAATGTCAAACAAAAAACCTTTTGAGTTTCTCATCTCAGAAAACGTATATGCGTTTAAAAATATTCAAGCTTTTGGAATAATATAACAGGATTTTGCAAAAGCGAAGAATAAATGAAACTTGCTGAGTTTGCTTAGAAACTGACTGTCATCCGCGGTAAAAAAAAACCTTGTGATAATTTATCCTACAACTTGTATTATTTCTTTATAATGTACTACTTATTATAGAACGTTCGTTTAAGACCTATTTGAATTGAATCTTAGACCGAGTTTATTGAAATGTAAGAGATAACATCTGGTACTCTCCATCACAATCTTATTTCCTTTATTCCTATAATTCTACTGCCTAGTTTCCTGGGTAGAATCCTTGCGAAATAAAGTGAGTTTTAGACGAATGACACTTTCAAGTACACTCTCTGGTTCACTTCTCCAGACTGCAGGGATTTGTGTATGATTTATTACAACTATCTATCTTCGATGTCATTAGCTTTGTAGCGGTAAACAAATCCTCAAAATAAGTATCTCTGTAAGTCTTGGACATGTGATGATGACGATATAGGTTTTGATGGACTCACCTAGCTGAAGGTGCTCGGTCATATATCCGCACCAGATCACTAGTGGGAACACCGTTCTCAACTTTACCTGTAACTGCTAACCAGTTTAGATCGGTCGTTTCTCGATATATTTATGGTCTAACAAATGTGTCTTTGAACCTCCCGGCTTCTGACTTTTTACTTTAAAAGGTAGGTGCGATCCAATCATAGAGAGTGTAACTGGTTAAATTGTTGTCAAACTACGAATACCTGAGACATCTTCATTGATGAGCCAACGTGATCCGGTACATGGACTCGTAAACTGCGAGTCCGTTCCTTCATGGAAATTCATATATCATTGCTTTATTTTAATTTTTATATATTGTGATAATTTTTCCCTGTTTTCGGGTATTTTTCCTCGTTCATTCTTGTACTTCATATTCGCCATGACCGAACAGACTTATAAGGTACTCAAGTTAAAGACTATGACTCCACCTTCATGTCAACTAATGCCTTCTTGGCTGGACAACATTGAAGCCTAGTTCTATTATGCGAAGGCCAATTTTTACGAGCATGGCGTGAACGACACACGTACACAACTCCGCGTAGTAGTAAAGGCACTACTGCGCGATTTCAGCAGGTACGTTACACCTAGTGTGTTTACTAGTGATGTTTCGGAACCTTATGAAACACTAAAAAGGTCTATTCTTAAACGCGGAGATCTAACTGATCGACGAAGGTTAGATCAACTCCTCAATAACATCGATCTGCAACATGGCTCAGCAACGGACATGTTACTACGAATGAGAGAGGTAATCGGTCAAGGAACTTAAGATTATGGCCTGTTTAGACAATTTTTTCTGTCTAAAAGTTTTTGTAGACGGTTCATAACAAACTGCGCATCCCCTATGAAATCTCCAACCGACTAACTTCGTGAAAATGCAAAGTTCATCAACTTGGATGATACCACGAAAAAAGCATTCTCCACAATTAAAGAACATATCGCAAATGCAACCATGCTTGCAGACCAGGACACCCAAGCACCTACTAGTATCGCAGTAGACGCATCCAACTCAGCAATTGGAGTCTTACAACAATGAGTTAATGTGGTGTTTGAATTGACTAATCATACCTTTGTGTATGTTGAATGCTCGATTTCGAATTCCAAATACAGTACATTCGTTTGTGCTAGTATCTTCTTAATTTAATCGCGTTATTTCTTGGAATCTTAGTTAGAGCTATAATTCAAATAATTCGAAACATTATACTGGCGTCGCGATTGAGTCTGCAATGGAAAAGTTAGACATTCATTCAACTTCTGAAGCTTTTGAGGATTATTTCGAAAGGTTCGAAATCTGGGTCATGATCAAGGAAGATGATGAGGATGTTAATATTGTGGCACATTTCCTCACATTCATCGGTGAAGAAGCATACAGTTTATTAAGATCTCTGGCTATGCCGGAAAAGCCCATTTCGCTTCCTTATACAACTCTCAAGGAATTACTATTAGACTATGTCAAGTATGCAAATTTTGATTGCAGTAAAGAAGGGGAATTTCCTAAAATAATTCATCAGAACATCAAAATTTCTACTACATCACGTCATCCCAATCCAGTGCATACTCAAGGTTTTGCAGATGATTCATTGAGGAGTTACAGTGCGTTTCACGAAGATTGGCGCAAGTTTGGTCAGTGTTTGTCCTGTGGCAAGTTCCACGCTTTTAATTTATGTAAATCTCGTAATTCTAAGTGCTTTAAATGTGATATTGGGTACATTCAGTCAGTCTGTAATACTAATGTTCATGTTATTGCAAATAATATTAAGTTTTGTAATTCTGATTCTACTGAGTCGAGTATTTATAATGATGATTTATCTTTATCAACTATTGCAATAGACAGTGTAGAGTCACAAAGCAGTTCAGAGTTAAATCAAATTCAGAATTCTTGCGAAACAACAGTTTCTCACCAATCGATTTATCAGAATTCTCATGCTATTGTACCAGGTATGGTTTTTCCTAATGATTCACATATTTCCGATGAAATTCCTTGCAAATCTGAAGAAAATATGTTGAGTAAACATAATTATGATTGAAAACCTGATGTAGTTTTGATAGATGTGGTGTTTGAATCGACTAATGATACCCCTGTACATGTTGAATGCTCGATTTCGAATTCCAAATACAGTACATTCGTTTGTGCTTGTATCTTCTTAATTCCATTGCGTTATTTCTTGGACACTTAGTTAGTGCTATAATTCAAATAATTCGAAACATTATAGTTAACCACACTTGAAATCCTTTGTCATTGCTGTCGAGACGATTGCTTGACAACGAATTCAGGTGTAGCACTTACGATAGGAACCTCCTAGCTATATAATGTGCTGTATGGCATTTTCGACATTCTGTTGAAGGCTGAGATTTTACCCTTCTGATTGATCAAAAAACGGTTGCTATCTCCTTAAGCTCATCTTCAGACAAATACTCATCTCGTGAGTCTTGACAACTGGATTGTACTTCGCACTTTACTTCAGTCATACGACACATTTCTGGAGCCCTTCAACCATCACTACAAATCGCGGACGCCGGTTCGAATCTGGACTTTTTCGTTGTCTGACCACACTTTTAGGAATCACTCGCTTCCTAAAGACTGCCTACGACCCACAAGCAAACGGATTAGTAGAACACTTTCACCGACAACTAAAAGCTTCCTTAACAGTTGCAAACACTCCTCAATGGATAGATGCTCCTCCAGTCGTCCTAATAGGTATTTGCAGTGCAGTGCAAACTGACTTTGAATGTACTGCAGCTCGACTCGTTCATGGAACGGCACTTCGACTTCCAGGAAGATTTGTCGATACTTCATCTTTTTCAATGAATATGGATCTAAACTCTTACGTGAGCAGGCTTAAAGATGCGGCGCGTTTAGTTAGACCTGTTTTCAATGATGTTTTCGTTCAACCTAGATTACGATAAAGTAAACACGTCTTTGTACTTCGCGACTAACTACGACGGCCTGATAAGACAACATACAAAAGAACCTTCAAAATTCTTTAGCGTAAACCTAAGTACTATATAACCCATAAGGATTGGACTAATGATAGCATCAGCATCGATTGCATCAAAGCAAATTAATAAAAAAGAAACCCTACTCACGTCGATTTTCCTTCGTTACAATCTGAAGGCACGGGTCCAAGACTTACGATACTTCCGATAGCTAACAGTCATGATGGTACTTTGCCAGTACCTAAAAACAGACTCCTAACAACACGTACCGGAAGAGTAAGGTTCCCAGAACATCTAAATGAATACTGCACGTAATACTTTACATAACTCTCTGTTTTGTCTCGACTATTTTTGTATTATTGCGTCAAAAACTGGCTATTTTAACATGCTCATGTGCATAGTTTAATTCCGAAAATGTTTTCGTTCCTAATATGCTTGCTTATATGTGTATATCATTATGTTGTAAAAAAAAAACCCGATACTTCATTCTGCTGTAATCGTTTTCACGCTTATGCATAGTTACGAAACGCATGCACTATCGCACTAGGTGGGTAGTGATCAGCAGCGATAGATAAATCCCAAAATCAATATCTCTGTAAGTCTTTGAAATTTGACCTTAACAGAATTAGTTTTAATGGATTCACCAACTGAAGGCTCCCGGTCACGCATCCACACCAGATCACGAGTGGGAACGCCCTGATCCACATATCTTACGACCGCTAACTAGCGTAGATTGGTCCCCTCTCGACATATGTAGTGCATTGGGCCGTAGCTACACAATCCCCAAAGCTGAACAAGGGACATATGGGACGACATATTATAATATTATAATTACTTCCAGTTCTAAGTTTGCAATCACGAATTCTTAGAGACTTTGCATCTTAAAATCCAGGGTCGTTTGCACAAAAGAAACGGACTTTGTTTTACTGACAAATCGGACCGTAACTGACGGAGATTGTTCTGAAAAATGATAATAGGCTTCATATCACTGTCCATTAGAATGTTCAATCTAAAATTTCTCTCTCAACTGTGAAACTATTAAGGCCCTTCTATACAACTGGTGGAACAGTACAATAATTATATCTGGCATCTCTTATTTGTCATTGACTTATTAGGTTTTTTGCACTACTATCTACCCCTCGTAAATAAATCAAGTCAAAAGTGATCTACAGTTTGATCACATCGGTTTTTATAGAGTAGGAAGAGCAAGTGTAGCTTGGGTGTATATTGTTGAAACGGAAAATCGTTCCGCCTTCCGGCCAAGGAAAGTGGGAAATATTATCTCTTGATAAAATAAGTAAACACCTTTCACGTTTCGAGATGTATTTGTTAGAACTGCAGCTTATTGATTGATCTTAATACCTCCTAATAACTTTTGCTGCTACATATTCGAAATCAATAATTTTTCCAGATGAATTGATTTCAAATAAAAATATCTTAACCTTGAGATAAAGAATCAACCCAACAACCTTACATTCTGCAACCCGAATAGACCCGAAACCAAAAATGTCACAGTTCAAATAAGTCAGTTCAACTTTCAAGTCGGTGTGGTTTACATTTTGTATATCATCTGGTTAAAAAGTAGACACTCGTACTTCCCATAGATGAATTTAAAATACAATGGTAAGATTTAGTACAGTTAACGATACAAAGATTATACATATAAGTAATGTGGAATACTTCAACAAATTACGTTATACAACCTAACTGGTTATTACATAGCATGTAACATGGTCAAGGTCTTGATATATACATCAATTAGTTTCTCAAAAACAGAAAATACCACTTCAATATACAAGTGTATTGCTGACAAACAAGTTGGCCATGAATCGAACAACTTAATCCATTTAACCACCATCAGCACTGATTCAAATATTTTTTAGACTCATCTTAGACCAAAATAATTCCAATTGTCCCTAAACACTTCTTTGGAAAGCCCCTAAGGCCGAAGAGTTTGATCGCTTTCACTATGAAATAATCTATTACAAAAATATCAAACACTCTCAATTGCAAAATTCTTATTTTTGAGTATGAAAACACAAAATATCTTTAATGTTTTATCGTAATGAGTTTAATTAGTTGACTTTCAGTGATAGTAACGGATGAACACTTTCCTTCACTTTGTCAGATGTTGCTACAAATCATACGAAATAATTCGAGGATGCTAATTACAATTCAGGAAGCAAAGAATACTGCACAGTTGATCGTTTCAAACTCAACCTTGTAGCTTGTAGTGTGGGTTAAATCGTCTCCATCACAAAAGACGTAACAAAAGTGAACCTGTTAGCCTGTAAAACAAATAAGTACAACAGTAAAAGTCCTTGACATAAAACAATTAATAAATACTATTGACTAGCATCTTAAATATTTCACCAAAGGTACCTACATCAAAATCCTAGATAATCATAAAGATAATGTTAAATTTATGGCAAGGAATAGCGAACAGTCATAAAAAGGAGTAAACGGACGTTGACTGACCTGGATAGTAAATTAACAAATATAAAAAGCGATTCACAAGTGAATTCCTGATCAATGGAGAAAACACTTGCTTGAGATCATAAGCCTGTTGTATCAGTGAAATTTCACTAGATACTAGTCACATCATCCGGCAGTCGGGCTGTGGAATTATATTCTAATTCGATTTTAGTTTATCTATGTTTGTTGCTATTATGATAGACCTGATCCCAAAATTGTAGATTTGTCGTGATTAGATAACCTAATCTATAGGACCTTATTTGCAAGTCATAACGTTGCCTATACTGATTCGTTTCACGTGGCTATCAGCCGTGTGATGTTTAGTACTGCTGAAAAACGCAATTCGACTGAAGATAAAATAATAAACTTAATAAGCAAAGGTATGAGTTTTATAGAATGATGACGCCAGCAAGGCTGAGTCACGCCACATCGACAAATTGGCCCGGCGTTCACCATCTTTGACCTCGTCTAAGTGTCTCATTTTGAATGCAAACCTTCTCAGTAGATTTATGTTTGGCTTCAAAGGTCATGAGGCTCTGAATCAATGGCACTAAAGTGTCTTCGAATATTGTATAGCTCAACAATTGTCGTCAGGATCAAAGACAACCAACGCACGTCAGTTAGTTGCACACTGTAGACTGTACCATGTAGCGGTGGTCGCGCTATGTTTAATGTATCTACTCTTACATGAAAAATACTAGCGATGTGAAGAATTATTTTGTTTCAAGTCTGAAGAATATTATGTGGGTTTCACTACTAAATATAAATACACCAAATAAATGTTAGTGTGTTATCTTAACAATCTAGTAATTATTTGGCAACACATCGATAACAAAATTAAAATAAACTTTGAGATGACTTTGCACTATCAGAAAATAATCACAGATAATCACACGAGCATAATAACAGGGATTTCTGTTGAGTTTAAAAATTTTGAGAAGCAAGATGGTTACTAAGTAGAAGTCATGGTAACTTTCGAAGCTGCACAAACGTTGTTCATAGTGGATGTAACGACCGAACTATCAATATTCCTTTAAACACAGGCCAAACGATTCAAAATTTATTAGATTAAACCAGACTACGTTCTTCTGTATAGCATACGAAACGTTTCTGAGTTACTAGTATTAAATTATATCAAAGCACAAACGCTGTTCTCAATTTAATCGGTTCTAATTTAGTTAATATAACAAATTATATCAAAATACAAAATACCTCAAACGGTACAGCCTGTGCTATACATTCAAAAGTTAATCCAACAGAAATTAGCTTGCTGAACAAGAAAAGAAACAATTAATAAAAAAGAGTTCAATAAATGAGAATCAGTAAAAATATTCCAACTAGATGGGATCACTTTTAAGACTATTACTACATATATGATTTCGGTTTAGTAAGCTGACGGTAAGTTTCATGGTCTTCTATGGATGACTTTATGAGCTGAATTCTTATGAACTGAGCGACCAAAAATACTAGACAAACAAAAATGTAGAGGTACCTGATGTTTTTTCTGTTGTCTTGCTAACGATTAGTATTGGTATTCAAAATAAAATTATTCATTTGTTTGTTGAACGGTGAATGCAATTGACTATGCAAAATTAGTTGAGGTGTTAAATATACAGCGGAGTCACACAATCAATCTTTTTTGATTAATTCACTATCGGCTTTGTCTGAGGTATACATATGTCGAAATACTATTTTGCTGCTTTCAGCTTAACTTTTAAAAATAATGGCTGTTTCTGTATTATCGATATTATTTCAGAATTGTTTGCAAACATATAATTCGTTAAAAACTTTAGTGAATATTCGTGTTCACGCTCACAATTATACATCACAGTATTTCTGAACATCATCCTTCGTGTTTGAACAAATGAAAAACAAGTTGCTATCATTAAGAATTCAGACAAAGTGTGGTTTAAATAGTTTAACCTAAAAAGATAAGACAACGCTACATTTTAAGTGAACTAATATGTTCACAAACACTCTTAAGTTCATTTTCACACCTTTTTTATATTATTGAGTATTTTGTTCGTTTGTATGAACTAACACAATGTACTTTACTCATTACTCTCAAGGCGGTTTCCTTGAGTATTTTCCGTAAGATGGAGTATGGGTACACAGTCTATCCAGATGAATACTTTCCTTCTGCTCAGGAAGAAGAAGAGGAGGAATGGGATCGTCAAGCATATTTGGATCCAATGTGGGAAATACAGCAGAAAAAAGTACTTTTCAAAATCTGTAATTACATTCTTTTCAGACTTTCACAGCATGGTGCAATTCATATTTGAGAAAAGTGAAATGCTCAATTGAAAATATTGAGGAAGATTTCACTGACGGGCTTAAGCTTATTCAACTGTTAGAGACTTTATCTGAGGAGCCTTTACCCAAACCCGATAGAGGAAAAATGCGTTTTCATAAACTCGCGAATGTTAATAAGGCATTAGAATATATAGAAAGTAAAGGTGTTCAACTAGTTTCTATTGGCGCTGAAGGTATTGAATCGTTTTAGTGAATCTTATTGTTAGAAATCGTTGATGGGAACATAAAGATGACTCTTGGGATGATATGGACAATAATTTTACGGTTTTGTATCCAAGATATTACCGTTGAAGGTAAGAATTTCACAATATGATCCGCCTTGTTTTTGTTTCTTTTTTAGTGGTGTTTTTGCAAGCGATCCTTCTTTCTGTGCACATATAAATAAGGTGTATTAGCGCCTGGTTTCTTACATAAGATGCAGAATGTTTATATAGGTTCATTTCTCGCTAGAAAATTACCCATTAGTTAGTCAGTGATCCCTTGGAAAGAACGCATAAAACTACTGGTTAGCTAATTTTCTATTCATTTGATCTACTGTGTATATTCTGTTAACTCTCAAAAACCCTTTCTTCTCGGATCATATATGACACAAATTTATATACTCCATTTGAACTAATATAAATATAGGAAGGTTATTTAACTTGTTAAACTGTATGAATCTTTTTTTGCCGAACATACACCATTTTTAGTGAGTTTCAAACTGATTAGCATGAAGAAATAAATAAAACTTCAAACAATTTTTTTTTCATTTTAGAAATGTCAGCTAAAGAAGGTCTTTTATTGTGGTGTCAGCGCAAGACTGCTCCCTATAAAAATGTAAACGTACAAAATTTTCACATGAGGTTAGTTTGTTCTTGAGCATTACTATCTACGTCATTACACTTCTTTCAAATTGTTGTAATTTGGTGTTTATAGGAAAAAGTCAAGGTCAAATGGCTAGTTCTTGCACGACTATGAAACGAAGTCAGTGTATACATGAGTGAGTTGTTCGATGGTTGAAAGCAGTTATTAGAAAACTATCTATCGCGCCCAACTACCTAACGTTTCCATACAATTCATTCAGTGATGTATCACTTAGATTTGTGACCGTAATGCCATCAAACAGGTGACATTTGACCATTTTCGAATGACTGAGTAAACAATATGTTGGTCACTATTCAGTACTCAATCAATAGTAAAGAGAACAGATACATTTTCCCGCCAGATTTTTTAAACCTCCTGTCCAAAAATTGCCTTATTGTTAGGCTGTGGTCGACGTTTTATCTCCATTTACTAGTTGTTTATTTTCGTTATTCAGTAAATGTAAGTACAGATCGAAGATTTGAATCATCATATTTTATCACTCAAAAAGAAAACTTGATTGAATTTCATCAATTCATGGGATTACATTTATGGATTTCCAGGTAGCTTATGATTATATGCATACATCGTCATGTATTTGTTGAGCTACTGTCTAAAGGACACAAAATAGTTTTAAAATATAGCTTGAACATAGCAACTACTGCAGGTGGTTATTCTTTCTTGTCCATTTCGCTCAATTTTAAGAGCTCTGAGTCTTTTCGTTGATAAATATCCTAAAAGTGGTAATTTTCAAAGATTTATAAAATAATTACGACAACTAGCTACCGTTGTAAGCTAGCTTTGCGTTTCGGCTTGTGAGCTTAGTTGTTTTAAGACTAGCCTTTGTGTTGTTAGACGTTTTGTTAATAAAAACACTTTCTGCCACATCTCCCACCATAAACATGCATTCCGCTAGAAAACTACCGCTCATTCGATAGTCATTACAATTCATGTTAATCGGATTATTTGGCTCCATCATTTAGTCATTCAGACATACTGTGAATAAGACTTTCGCATCTCTCAATATGCTACCCGACCGAAGCTGCTACCTTGACGCGGTGGTCGGGCTTGCCTATCATGATGACCCAACCGATCCGTACTGTTCCGTTCAGTCGGACAGCGCACAAATGACTGTCTACTGGGATCCACTCTAAGAGAGCTAGTTCTGCCCTAGGACTCAATGCTATACCTACGCCGGCGAGGCCACGGGAAGCAGAATTAGGGCTCCCAGATACACGAAGTGTGAATCGAGTCGGTTCTTTATTTTGACATGTTGAGGTTAAATGAATGACGCTACTCGGATCCTGTATGCGCGTTTCGGAGACGCAGCACATATCGATGGCGCGGGATTCTAAAGTCCTAGTTAATGAAGCCTGCTGTCCTATTTGGCACAGTGTTCGGAAGTTAAAAGCTCCTACGTGTAGTTTAGAGCTTGGTTTCTCACGACCGCGAGATGATAGCAACCGATGGTTAGAGACCCTGAATGACATGGCTCAAAATCGTTTGCAATGGCGCAGGTGCATCCATTCTTTGTGTTCTCCCAAATTCTAATCTTCTGAATTCTTCATGTCCCTTTTTTTTTCTTTCCAAATTCATTTCACTGTATTATAATCCTTGAATAACATCTTCAAACCCTAATTTTTCTGATTACAGCTTATAACTTTACTACATCTAGCACTACGGGATTTGAATCGACCACTGCATCTCTGTGCTAATGTGGTATGGCAACTCGAACTGATGTACGTACGTACAAAGTTCTACTTTGTTGCCGACCGACCTCAATATGCTACGATTAACAAAATTCCGAGCTGCCTCTTGCTCTTAATTAATCTCGAATAATAAGAAATTCTCAAAGAAAACTAATTAGCTTTTCCAAAATATTTTCCTGTTGTGAAGATAAAACAGAAATGTATAGGAAAATATTGACATCATTTAATTTTCTGTTTTTATAGTTGACTGAATAAAACTTGGCACCCAAATGCTAGAAAAAAATACTTTTCTGTATTTGCCAACTGTCTTAAGTGGTGTAAATATTTTTTACCTTGTTACATTTTGAAAGCAGATGATTTTTGAATTTATTTGGCTTTATATATAAATAAGCAGATATGTAGTCAAAGTCAGTTTTGATAACTATTCTTATCTTATTGGCTCTGTGCAGTAAATCCAAGAGAGTTTCTAGAAATGCTGTTGCCACACGATAGAAAAATAATTTGTGTCGATGGGGAATTTTGTTTTTGTTATTATGGTCAAAGTTTGCTTTTACTGATAGCTTTGTAATTGATATACTACCTTAAGAAAATTTGAAGTGAAAGTTCATAAATTATAAACATTGCCAACATATTGTTGAGGATTCCTGATCATTTCATTGGCTTCATTTATTAGCTGGGCTTAAGTAGTTTAAATCGCCTTCATTGGAGAAACCTATACATATTTGGACCACATTTTAACATTTTGAAGATTCGATTAGCATGTTTTACATACTAACTAGTAGTTATCAAAGCCATTTTGTAATGGTTGATTTATCAGTTATGAAATTCAGCATTACAGTCAGCTTACATACCAAGTAATATCAATTTTGAACTTTGAGAAAATAAATAATTTCTCTGGTGCAGACTACAAAATTAGTCTGTAGGCTACCCTCCTATTATCTTGTAGGTAAATTCAATGATCTTATTTCATGCAGTCGAATCCATAAGAGTTGGTAAGTGTACACTGTTGTGAGCTTTACACCGGGATGAAAAAGCTGTTCAATATTTTGCAATTTTTATCAATTCGTCTGGTAGTTGATATCACTAATCACTAAAGGTTATTGGGATAGCTCAATCCCATGAAATTACGTGCTGAAATACAATATTTTATTTAACAAAGGCTTAATATTTGTATTCTTTAATGTCACTAGCCCCGCTTGTATGATTCAGATATGTGCTATTTAATTATACTCTATATCGTCCGCAAAAAAGAATCGTTAGAGATTAATCAGAAAGCCGCTAATAATTATACTTTTTATCGAAAAGGATTGAATAAGTTTCTTTGTTTTAACTTCCAAATGCATGAATGTATACATAATATAGTTGGAAAGATGGTTTGGCATTCTGTGCTCTAATACATCGTCATCGACCAGATCTGATTGACTATTCAAAACTCTCAAAAGTAAGTTGCCAGCTTGTTAAAACTTGCATGCCGAAAACAATAATGCATGATTCTTTGACTTTCACCAACGAATGGAAATGAATATTAATCATGAATAAATAACGCATCCAGTTCTCAGTGAACAAATTGTTTTGTATATTTTGTACTTTGTCATATAATTTGAAGAGATGTACATTACCTTGTGGAGTAACTAATGAATTACGATTTTTGTCTTGTAGGACAATCCAATACAGAATTTAAATTATGCTTTTGATGTAGCTGAAAAACACTTGGATATCCCAAGAATGTTGGATGCTGAAGGTAGGTAAACTTATAATTAATCGTTTATATTTACTTGTACATCAATTTTATCGTATATGATGATGTTTTAGAAAACTTTGTGAACTGCTGGTCATTAAAACACGCTTTTATTTCCTATAAAATATTTTTTAAAAAGTAAATCACTAGCCAAATGCAGAAATATCTTTATTACGAAAGAGGGTTTTGGAGGTTGTTGAATTTCATGTTTAACACCACAAGCTGATCATAATTAGACAACCATAAGAGATCAGGCAGTGCATAGGTTGAAGTTAGACATGTAAATTATTGGATGCCAACTCAGTAGTTCAAAGAATAAGTACTCATAGTGGGACCACTGATGGAGTCGTGGCTGTCAACTACATGATATTATCTTTCCAGTAATTCAGATTCAAATAATTGAAATATCCGCTTTTATCAAACTCACCATATTATGTGATTATTGTTCAGTGTCACTGGTGGGGATCCGCCTAACTTTTGGCTTGATTAATCATACATATTATGGCTATTAACTAAATACCCAAGTATCCATCTCAGAGCAAATCACTGATGGGCATTACTTACTTACTTACTTACGCCTGTTACTCCTCGTGAAGGAGCATAGGCCGCTCACCAGCATTCTCCATCCAACCCTGTCCTGGGCAATCCTTTCTAGCTCCGTCCAGTTGTAATTCATCGTTTTCATATCTGCTTCTATTATCCGACGCAATGTGTTCTTTGGCCTTCCTCTTTTTCGCTTCCCTTCAGGATTCCAAGTTAGGGCTTGTCTCGTGATGCAGTTTGACGATTTGCGTAATGTATGTCCTATCCATCTCCATCGTCTTTTCCTAATTTCTTCTACAGCTAGAAGTTGGTTTGTTCTCTCCCACAGAAGGCTATTGCTGATGGTATCCGGCCAATGGATGTTGAGTATCTTGCGTAGACAACTATTTATAAATACTTGTACCTTCTTGATGGTAGTTGTTGTAGTTCTCCAAGTTTCAGCTCCATACAGTAGAACTGCCTTGACGTTGGTATTGAAGATTCTCACTTTGATATTGGTTGAAAGTTGTTTTGAGTTCCATATGTTCTTTAACTGTAGGAATGCTGTCCTTGCTTTGCCAATCCTCGCCTTTACATCTGCATCTGAACCTCCTTGTTCATCGATGATGCTTCCTAGATATGTGAAGGACTCTACATTTTCCAGAGTTTCGCCATCAAGAGTGATTGGGTTGTTTTTTTCCGCTTTGAATTTGAGGACTTTGGTTTTCCCTTTGTGTATGCTGAGGCCTACTGATGCAGAGACTGCTGCTACACTGGCTGTCTTCATCTGCATCTGTTCGTGTGTACGTGATAGGAGTGCTAGGTCATCTGCGAAGTCCAAATCGTCTAATTGATTCTGAGCTGTCCATTGAATTCCGTGTTTTCCTTCAGATGTCGAGGTCTTCATAATCCAGTCGACCACCAGAAGAAAGAGGAAGGGAGAGAGTAAACAGCCTTGTCTGACTCCGGTCCTACTGATGGACATTGGATTGTGTCTTATTAAAACAATTATTTAGCTGATACCTGTGATGACATAAATCATCGATATGAATGACTTATTGTAGACCAACTTGTTGAAATGAATGACCCATGAACTATTTTATTCAAAAATGTGTATTCAGAGAATTATGGGATGATTGAAATAGAGTCGTTCGTTGTGCTATGCTTTTTATGAGTCCTTAAAATTTCCACTTAAGTAACATGATCTATTCGAATAAATAAGTGGAAATAAGAAAAGATAGTTATAATTATTTGCTAGTTCTGATATTTTCATGAAATTTATATTTGATCGGAGTGTTTGAAATTGAATCATTTGTCAAATCTATGTAGTTCTGTTTCGACATTACGCTTAGTTTGTGAACGACTCTAAATTCGGTGGCAATCGCGCGATTCCTCACTTACTGATATGTCTGACACAATTACCTTTAACCAAACCCATACATTTATGCTTCTAATACTTTCGTTTTGTTGCACTACTGACGAAATCATATGCTTACTTCACCTAAGTATTGTACAATAACAGAAACTGCTTTAATATGAGAAAAGGTATCTTAATCAGTATCAGTAGTAACGATGCAACCAGATTCAGTTCATGGTTATAACATTTGACAAAACAGATAGCTTGAATCATTTTAAAAAATATCTATTGTATTCTACAAAAGACTAATATTTGAACGAAGAATATTCTATTCGACAAACTCTCTTCAGGTTCTACAATTATCTATCCAAATTAATAATCTGAAAAGTGCTCAGGTTAAGGGCAAATTACATCGTTTAAAGCATGTGAATTTACGATTACTTACTTAGTTACGCCTGTTACTCCTCGTGAAGGAGCATAGGCCGCTCACCAGCATTCTCCATCCAACCCTGTCCTGGGCAATCCTTTCTAGCTCCGTCCAGTTGTAATTCATCGTTTTCATATCTGCTTCTATTATCCGACGCAATGTGTTCTTTGGCCTTCCTCTTTTTCGCTTCCCTTCAGGATTCCAAGTTAGGGCTTGTCTCGTGATGCAGTTTGACGATTTGCGTAATGTATGTCCTATCCATCTCCATCGTCTTTTCCTAATTTCTTCTACAGCTAGAAGTTGGTTTGTTCTCTCCCACAGAAGGCTATTGCTGATGGTATCCGGCCAATGGATGTTGAGTATCTTGCGTAGACAACTATTTATAAATACTTGTACCTTCTTGATGGTAGTTGTTGTAGTTCTCCAAGTTTCAGCTCCATACAGTAGAACTGCCTTGACGTTGGTATTGAAGATTCTCACTTTGATATTGGTTGAAAGTTGTTTTGAGTTCCATATGTTCTTTAACTGTAGGAATGCTGTCCTTGCTTTGCCAATCCTCGCCTTTACATCTGCATCTGAACCTCCTTGTTCATCGATGATGCTTCCTAGATATGTGAAGGATTCTACATCTTCCAAAGTTTCGCCATCACGAGTGATTGGATAGCTGTTCTCCGCCTTGAATTTGGTTTTCCCTTTGTGTATGCTGAGGCCTACTGATGCAGAGACTGCTGCCACACTGGCTGTCTTTGTCTGCATCTGTTCGTGTGTATGCGATAGGAGTGCTAGGTCATCTGCGAAGTCCAAATCGTCTAATTGATTTTGAGCTGTCCATTGTATTCCGTGTTTTCCTTCAGATGTCGAGGTCTTCATAATCCAGTCGACCACCAGAAGAAAGAGGAAGGGAGAGAGTAAACAGCCTTGTCTGACTCCGGTCCTTACTTGGAATGCATCTGTCAGCTGTCCTCCATGCACGACTTTGCACTGTAGTCCGTCGTATGAGTTCCGGATAATGTTGACAATCTCCTCAGGAACTCCGTAGTGTCGAAGAAGTTTCCATAATGTCCTCCTATCTACACTGTCGAATGCTTTTTCATAATCAATGAAGTTGATGTATAGTGATGAGTTCCACTCAACTGATTGTTCGACGATGATCCGTAGTGTTGCAATTTGGTCTGTGCACGACCGATCCTTACGGAATCCAGCTTGTTGATCTCGAAGTTGGGCGTCTACTGCATCTTTCATCCGGTTCAGCAACACTCTGTTGAATACCTTCCCTGGTATTGACAGCAGTGTAATGCCTCTGTAGTTTTCACATTTGCTCAGATCTCCTTTCTTTGGAATCTTGACGAGGTGTCTTTCTTTCCAGTCCATCGGCACTTGTTCTTCCTCCCAAATCTTTTTGAATAGAAGGTAAAGCATGCTTGTGGTTGCTTCGATGTCTGATTTCAGTGCTTCAGCTGGTATGTTGTCGGGTCCTGCTGCTTTCCCGTTCTTGATTTGTCTGACGGCCATTCTAATTTCTTCCGTCGTTGGTGGGTTGACATCTATAGGAAGATCTATGTGTGCTGCTTCGATGTCCGGTGGATTCATTGGAGCCGGCCTATTCAGGAGTTCCTCGAAGTATTCTACCCATCTGTTCCGCTGTTGTTGAATTTCAGTGATTGGCTTGCCTTCTTTGTCTTTGACCGGTCTCTCTGGTTTACAGTATTTCCCTGCTAGTTTCTGCGTTGTATCGTGAAGCTGTTTCATATTTCCTTCTCTAGCAGCTTTTTCTGCCGTCGTTGCTAGTTCTTCCACGTATTTCTTCTTGTCGGCTCTAATGCTCCTCTTCACTTGTTTGTTTGCTTCTATGTATTCAGCTTGTGCTTGTTTTTTCTCTGCTCGTGTTCGGCTGTTGTTTATTGCTGCCTTCGTGTTCTTCCTTTCTTTGATCTTGTCCAGTGTTTCTGTAGAGATTCATTCCTTATGATGGTATTTCTTTAGACCGAGAACCTCTTGACACGTTGAAGTAAATGCTTCCTTGATGCCTTTCCAGTTGTCCTCCATACTAGTTTCTTCTTCTTTCAGTAGATCTTGTAAGGCTTGGAACCTGTTGTTGAGAGCTATCTTGAATTCATTGAGTTTGTCAGTATTTCGAAGGAAGGCTGTATTGAACCTTTGTAGTGCTGTTTGTCCACTTGTCCAGTTCTTTTTTAGCTTCAGTTTTAAATTGGCCACAACTAGGTGGTGATCTGAAGCTACGTCAGCGCCTCTCCTGGTTCTCACATCTTCCATTGTCCTTCTGAATTTTTTGTTGATGCAAATATGATCTATTTGGTTCTCTGTAGTGTGGTCCGGTGAGATCCATGTAGCCTTGTGTATACGCTTGTGTGGAAATATTGTGCCTCCTATGACCAATTTGTTGAATACACATAGATTTGGAAATCTTTCTCCATTTTCGTTTCTTTCTCCCAGTCCATGTCGTCCCATAATATCTTCATATCCAGTGTTGTCTATTCGAATTTAGGATTGTGATAAACAAAATGAAGAAAATTTATCGAAAAGAGTATTCGTTCAAATATTAGTCTTTTTGTATTCTATAAAGTTAAATTTCCCTTACCAACAAGTTGTTTACAACAAACAATGCTTCGTTACAATATTTAGCATTTCACTGAAGCGAATATTGAGTAAACAACTATAACAGATTTTTTCCAAACATATGTTAAGCCATCTTCACTCGATGAATTTATTAAGGCAAAATTGATAGTTGTAGTCTAACTAGTTCGTTTAACATGTCTGATATAAATCGCAAAATCCATGATTCATTTTGTATTTTCGATAAGCGAGTTCTTTCTGTATAGGTTGAAATAGAGATTTTGCTCATTTGATTTTAATCAATTTTACCAGCGAATCTTTTATTCAGTAAATAGATAGTGAGGTAAAATTGACAGTCTGATGTGCATTGAGCCAATCAGTATGAAAGAATATCGATAACTGAAAAGTGTCAGCATGGACTCATATATTTATTTAAAGATGAACTCAGTATATATAAACGGTGTTCAAACACTCTGTGAACACCTGACTTTTAAACCACTGACCCAGCGTCAAATGTTATACACATCCAGCTTCAACCGATCCGCCATATTGTAAGACAATCTTTTATTGCCTGCGGTGAAGAACTGTCTCAGCATTTTTGAGGCAAGGGGCTCACCGCAAGATCCAAAAATCCTAAACTCGATCCCTGGTGGGTTTGTGGATGCGCACTAATGAAATGTCTCATACTATGTCGAAATAACTGTCCAGTACTTTCTGGTTTCCAACGCCTTTTTAACTAGGATCAATTCTCGGTGGAAACTACAGAATTCAACAATCTCTGTAACCCTTCTATACTTATGTAAGTGACGACTGATTTTCGCTTCTCAACACATATATTGATAATATTATTCGCAAGAGTTTAAATATACTAATTTTTAATTCTTTTTATTAGAGAGTAAGGCATGAATGAGTGGATTATACTGGCGGAATCCAATCATTCGTTCAGTTGGTCTTTTCATTATATCAACATAACGACGCGAGAATTTTAAATTTCAATGTGTCAAAGAATTCTCTCTTTTCTACATACACATTAGTTTTATTATTACCTTACTGTTGTGAATTGTAGTTTCATGATTTTATAATGAATAGTATCGAATTTCAGCTTTTTAAAATAAATAAGTTCAGTGCTAATGAACATATGATGTGCAGTCATACTATATAACTAAATAAATAGCATATCTGTAATATCCCAATGAGTAGAAAAATTAGATTTTCTACTCATTGGGATATTACAGATATGCTATTTATTTATAACAATCTACCCAATGCTCAATTTATTCGAAATTATCAAATCATACCATATAACTGATTGATTATTGACGCAAACCCCCGGCCGAACTAATAATAGGATTTTTCATAACAAAATAACACACTCCAAATATTAATCACAAGAATAAACACTTAAAAGTCACTTAACAAATAAATGACTGGGACCATAGGTCAATCACTCTCCAATGGAATTAATACCTAATTATCAGATTTAATTCTTCCCCGTCAAATCACATACAGAAAACGTTTCCTCAATATTTCTCTTTTAGATTACTACCAGCTACTTAGATTATTCTTTTGCTGTTTTTCTAGATATGGTAAATACAGTGAGACCAGATGAAAGGTCTGTTATGACTTACGTTTCAGCTTATTATCATGCATTTGCAGGTGCACAAAAGGTAAGTAGAGATGTACACCCTATGGAAGTAAACACAGTATACAAATATTTCATGAAATATATATCAAACTTTGATATATAATTGTCAAATGTATGTATATATTGATAAAATTACAGTTTAAAAATGGGAAATAAACCACATCACAAAGCTATGTACCGAACTGGTAATTTGTAATTTCAACTTCAATCACTATAAATGAGACTACTTCTATCCTATTCCTTACAGTTAGATAACTAGGCAGACAAGTTCAAACTTGTCTGAAAGTTTTACTGATAGAGACCTAAGAAGAACTGATTTATATTTAAGTTTATTTCATTGTATATTAATTTCATTTGGTGACTTTGCAAACGAATTCGGCAAACTGAATATATAATGCTTGAATGAAATTCACAGTAGAATGATTAGTATAAATGAAGGCTCTTTAAAGGTCAAATGATTGAAAATCACTTGAAATCGGCATGAGGATTCTAAGATTGGTTTCTTCCTCAAACTTTATATTTGAAAATTTCACCCCCCAACAATTCGATAGGCAGGTATCATTACCAAGGTTTGACATGATAATTTCGAATAAATTAGATAGTTTTTATGGATCATGTTACGGAATGATGTCAGCTAGAATAAAAAGAAGTAATAAATAGATATTTTGTTTGAGCACGAGACTGCCAAGCACAGCGCACTCATCTTTCATAGACCGAAATGAAAGTTTTCAGATATTATCCATTACTAAGGTATTCTAAGCTAGGATGATATTGTCATCTACCACTTTCTAGCTTTGAATGAATCTCAGGCTCCTCCCAGGCCATGATACAAGGTACTGGAATATGAAGCTAGTTCTTTAAAACTATCTATTTAGTAGATGGTTCTTCAATCCTCCCTCCATATTACTTCAAATATTTGGTCGTAGGTATTTGAGTAATCACATCCTTATAATCTAAATATTCTCAGTATATAAAGTTTAAAACTATGTCTGAAAGGAATAAACGATTTTAAGGCAGATGGTAACAAGAAGGACTATTATAATATTTGCATAATTTTGTTATGAACAAAATCTTCAAGTAAACTTTTCATTGGTGACCAGATTTTGTCTAATATCCATGGATCTTATTGTTATTTACCAACTTAAGTAGAAGGTTCTCAGTTTTTAACTACGCCATAACCTATTCCCATAGTTTTATATATTCAACCATGCACTGTGATAACAGAGCGTTAAAAAAAAACTAATTACCAAATGGAATATTGAATAAATACTTATATACAAACTTAGATAGAGAGAAATACTAAAAAATATTTACGGAAACATATGTTTCTATATCCATTATCTGATTACTAATTTTATGAATACGAATGATTAGTTATATGATTCATAAAATTAGATTAAGTAAAATTAGTCACGCCTTATAAACATTTATTTGCACAATAACTTTGGTTAACATTCAAACAGAACAACAGTTAGAATAATAATGATAAAAATATTTGGTAGTTATTGACTGCATGAATTCAGAATGCTAGTATTTTATAGTTAAGTAAGTTGACCGTTAATAATATGAAACGAATTATACCACACAGTTTACATCAGCACTACCAGAGGAATTTAACATAATGTAAAACAAAATATTTGCCGAAATAATAATCATAATATCAATGATAGTAAAAAGTAAACAGACAAATATATACCCCTACCACCTAAGGTAATCGTAGTTTGCATTTTCAAAAATTGACTTACTATTCCTATGTATTATTCTGTATTTAACCATATCAACCTCTAGTTCATTGTAACATATATTCAAACAATACCTCGAAGACAACTTTTATCTAATAATAGAGACCTCTCTTTAAATGTTAATATTTTGCAATCATGATACAAAGTCCAGAACAAAATATTATCCATTATGGTTACTCTTTTGATAGAAAAGCAAACATTTAGCTTGTCTCAAAGAAGAAACACAAATGTATTGATAAAAAATCAGTAGCACTCAAAATATCCTTTTGATATTACGATTAGTTTTGCCTTTCATTTTTAAATTATTTCATGGACCCCGTTTTCTTTTTGTACTTAACCTAATCAATTATCTACTCATCTATGTCAAATTACTTCATATTGAAGATATAGCGATCTTTTAAAAAGTATATATAAATTCAAAGTACTAGCTTGTAGGTTTTCGGAATATTAACCCATATAGTGTCACTTTATTTTCTGTCTACCTCTCAGTACGTATACAGTATACATGTAAATGACAATATTACATACCAGTATAGATCATAAGTATCAACAGTTTGACTTTTATTGATTTTTTGTGATTCTTATCATTTTGTGTTAAAATTAACATTTGTGTTAACAGAATGTCAGTATAACCATATGGGTGTTTTTCTGTTCTAAGATAATCGGTTTAAAATCAGTTTGATTGATTTATTATAAACTAGTAACTGAACTGTATCCTACAACTTTTCAAATTGTTTTTCATTGCTTGACTCCATAGATTTATATTAGAATTTTTTTATAACTTTATTACAATTAATAATTTTAAGAATGATTTGGACTTATGTTAAAGCATTAATGAGAAAATTTGTATTTCCAAACTACTTTTGAAGTCGCGAATAATTTCAGGAAATACTGTTCTCGAAAATATCATAACTAACAAATTACCATAAGAGACAGAATTGGCTAGAACTACAAGTAATTGTACATGTGTTCAAGTTGCTGTAATTTGTAACAAGTTAGAAATAAAAGAACATCAAAAAGAAAAAGATCTGCATAAAAATTAAGAAAGACATGTATAAAAGTGAGGGGCTAAAAGGTAGCTAGCATAAAACTCTAGACCTAGGTTTTACATTAGCTAGGACCGGACAGCAAAGAGCATCAGTGATTTTCAGGAAACTGATGCCCTATGTGGGATGCAAACTCTCATCCATCTTAACATCCTGAGATCATGTCACTGAATTATTCCGTAACATCTTAGACTGTGAGGTTGGTTGACGCGAGTTTGAATCCTATAGAGAATACCAATCCCTTTAAAATTCCAGGTTAGCCACATTGACAAAAGTCAACTTATGTCTTCCTGACTACTTCCAAACACTTAGTGTTCCAACATAGAACATGTGAAACCAAGTCGCTTAGACTATTATCCACATTGTGACCTGATTGATAAGATTTGATCATCACTAAAGGACTACAGAAATATGACATTAGTCACTCGGTATTTGTTTATTAATCATTTGTAAGCACATATAACTTACGGTGTGAAAGTCACTGAAGAAATATATATTATCACAAAATAATTTGAAAATAATCTTCATTTTCACTGATTCTGATGATCATCTATCACCCATAAGCGGAATACTTATTATTAAACAAATTTTACCTATCCAACATATATATGATCATTTTTGCTAATACATTCACATTTATTTATTTAGGCTGAATCAGCAGCTAATCAAATTACGAAAGTTTTAAAAAGTAATCAAGACAATGAGAAATTAATGCGAGAATATGAACAACTTGCATCGGATTTATTGGCTTGGATTGAACAACAAATACCATTTTTAAAAGTAAATTATATCTGTATATGTTTTTTTTTAAATTGGTAGTTCTGATTTCAATTCATGTAATGACTTAATGTATTTTAAGAGTTTTGGGGTTAATATAAATATATTGATAGAATAAACAAGTATTACACATTTTTTAAAAATTAATTACAGTCTGTTGACGTTACATGGGTATAAGATAGGATTCGATTTTGAATTTATTTACTTAGTGATAGTAATATTAGTAATATATTCATCTCCAAAGATTGATGAACTGTTCCGCTCTTTGTCTATTTGAACATCTATTTTAATTTGCAGTTATTTACTAGTCATAATAAATGATAAGTTTAAAACATTGAAAAGATAATACGTTAATGTTATTCCAATGTTATATAATCTCAAGAATTCAGTATTTCTAACACGATTCAAACACCAGTTAGATGTTCTTATTGAAACACATCTACAGCAAATGTATGCTATTAGAAATATAAGATTATGCTCATTTATTATTCTATAACGAAGTTTTGATAATTTCTTATTTGTACTGTATTATTTATTTTTCCTAATACAAAATAATGACGAGAGTAAAATCAGTTTACAAAACATTCAATTATGTTCATATTATTACACAGTGTCAGTTTTTAAAAAATCACAGACAGTTAATCTTAGCCTTGCATGAAAATTTATTAATGTCTTATTTATACACTTTAAAAATGTTAAGAATCAAGAGTCAGATATCTTGAAATGATATAGTCTTGAACAGATAACACTAGCCCAGATATATACCATCATAATTTGTTCAATCATATCTCTATTGTTTATTATATATCAATTACATGAACAGTTGTTCCCACTACTATCAGTTCCTTAAACAATAACTATTATTATATTAGCGATGGTATAAAAAGTAATTTCAAAAGACCGAAAACAATACTGTACATATTTATGAAAGCTAAAAATCATGTTGATAAGTTAAAAATTATTCACAAATTATGCAAGTTATTCATATATCCCATGTACATGTAAAGTTAACAAAACTTGATTACTGATAAGTGTAATCTGATGTGAAATCGATATTTCGCATTGTTGTGTACTTTTATATCTTTTGTTCTGTTGTCCTCTGTAGATTAACTAGTTATAAATATCAAAAGGGGTTTATACCATATATATATCAGAAGAACGGAAGGAGAGGGTATATACCCATAAAGTTAGGAATAAATAGACATAGAGTTGTAGAATGTTGATAATTAAAATGATAATTTTTGGATGTATTTGGCTTATTGTGATTTCATTTAAATTTTCCCACTGACAGTTTTCAACTACTCACATCTAACACCTTGCGATATGTCATCATTTACGAAAAATATATACCTGTTGGCTTATTTCAAACATTTACATGTCAATTATAATTCGAACTGTGTTTCATTACGTTTGATATACTTTTGGTTAAATCAATCTATATTTATACTTAATCTTAAGTTCGTATGAAACTGTAATATAATCCTTTAAACCAATACGGATTTTCTTTAATCTTTCAACAGGCTATGCAACTCTAGTCGAAAATATATGTCTTAACTATCTGAACTGTTATGATTGATAGAATTAAAGTACAAGTATATGATCGGTGACTACATAATTGCTTGAACAAGTAATAATGACTAATACAATTATCATATTCTTGTACAATGTATACACTAGTACTTTAATTCTATAAAACAAAATGATTTCAAATTTACTACATGTTTATAATTATAATTGCAAAATGTCAATATATGCATATATACGAAACAATTTCTCCGTTCGGTAAATTTAGATTACGTGAGAGTGGCTGAACATAAGTCTAAATGGATATGGAAACAAATGAATTCCAATAAATACCTTCCTCCGTTGATAAGCATCTGGGTGAAGTCACCCATTAAGGTTCATGTTGAACCAGCCTTAGTGAAATGTTATCTATACAAAGATTTAAACCCACTTAAACTGTTCAAAAACAGTTTGTTCTTACCTTGAACTTTCCCCGATAATATGGATTTATTATTTTTCAGGGCGTTGTGATTCACGTTACTTTCCCCACTATCTTTAATTATTTTTCAGTCTTCCGATATGTCTAGTTTGACCTTTCATTTGTCATATAAAAATGGCTTGACAAGTAAAGGTGTGGTCATATTGATCGAAATATACCGCGCTAATAGATCACATCGTTTTGATGGAAATCCGTCTTCTCATTCCATTATCTAAATATACATGGTGTAGTACATAAAAACTTACAAATTAATTAAAAGCAAAGATGAACGGTGGCTAGTAGTGAAATCCACCGTCTATCTCCGCTTATAATGCTTGTAACTTAAGGCAATATGCACATATGCTAATAAGATAGTGATCGATCGCAGTCCTAAACATCAATCGGAAGATTCAAGTAAACAATACCAATTAAATCAGTTTTCTAAATACAAATAAATTTTATCAGGAATTTCTGTCTGAATCATTTGTAACTAAAAGAATATTTTCCAGTAAAATGAATTTCTATTCCGATCTATACTAATTATTTTTCATTGTTCATATAAAATATTTATAAACGTTGTTCCGCTAGAAATAAAAAAAATATTTTCCTTCCTTTCTCTTCAGAGAAAAAAATTAGCAAACCAACAAAGTTATTTATGCCATATGATGGAAAAAGTCGATTTATGTTAATTAGGGATTTGATACATTTTCTGTACTACAATAAATGTAACACGTTGTCTTCTTTACCAATTTCGCTTTATTAATTATACATTTGAATGTCAGTTGACAAAGTTCTTTTTTTCTAAATACATAGTTAATGTAGGGTCGTGGGTGTGCACATTATTGTCATTTTATTAAATATTTGTATAAAGTAAAACTATCTTGTTCATAGCCATATTTGATTGTTCTTTACTGTTTGTGTATTGATTTTTTAACTATTTAGGATCGAACAACTGATGGAACCATATCTGGAGCTCGTTCAAAATTAGATCATTATAGAGGTTATCGAGGCTTTGAAAAACCTCCTAGATTAGATGAAAAAACATTGCTAGAAAATACATATAATACACTTCAAACACGATTACGACTGGCGAATCGTCCATCTTTTCTTCCAACTGAAGGACGTATGATTGAAGATATTGATTCAGCATGGCGTCAGTTAGAAAACTATGAGAAAGGTTTTGAAGTAAGCGAATGCAAATAATGTTAAATATCTCAATTTTCTTATTCCTTTGTGTGCTTTTTTCAAAACCACAAATCTGACACAAACAATTTACACGAGCATTTTTGAAACCATTGATATTAATCAATATAATCATTTGCTTAATTCCGTTTGGTGTAAATACAGAACCATAGGTTTTGAGTTCCGAAGTCAGGTCTATCGTTGATGTTCCTTAATGGCCTATGTCAAACTGTTCTAACCAGTTGAGCTAACGAATAATATGCGTCGAAAATAAAAATTTATGAAGCTTTTGGATTGTAATTATGTGATGTAATTTCTATTGTTCTGAATTTTTGTATTCTGATTCCGTTTTTCAAATAAATTTGTAAGGAAAATAGACAGCTTTAGAGCATGCTCAATTTTAGAGACTCATTCGACTTCATAATTCATTGATCCCCGATTTATGAGTCTGGTGAATTTCGTGTATATTCTCAGACTTGTAATGCAATGCGCTATTAAGAGTCGAGTACGAAATGTTATTGGGAATATTATATTTTAGACGAGCTTATTGGCAAGCAAACTGAGTATATATACGAATGCAGAAGAGAAATTAGCATACCAGCTATCTAACCAAGAAATCTTGTAACTCAATGTATAAGTCAAGTAATTGGACAAACATATACACACCGAATTTCACACATATATGGAAATATACAATACATTTATGTGAATTAACGAAGGCAAATTATAAGGGTGTACAAAATAATTAATAGGATCAGAACGATTTATCTCTTACATGCTTGTATTTTATTATTTTAACGACGTTCAAATAGATAGGTAAATAGACTTGGTCAATGCACATTTATGGCTTCCAACTAAGTTAGGCAGCCAATTATTAACGTTGTCACTTAATGTCATTTTTTTTACTAGAGTAAATATCTTTACTTTGATCATGCTTAGCACTTGTTAGACTTATCGAAGGATTTAGTCATCGAAAGAAGTACAAACCAATCAATCTATGACACCTTTCAATAACTTGCGAAATGCACTGAAAATAAGCCAATCAACTTTGACTTGATTTTCAAAGATGTTCTCATAAACATTGATTTACTTTAGTTCCTTTCAATATCTTGACGTTTGTTAGTTCATTATGACATAGTTTGTACACTTGTTGCCGTTAGTCTCTTGTATGTCAAAATTTACAACATACCACGTGCTACTAAACTGAAAATAACTTTAGATTCTGTTCCACTTAATCATTGGCATTGGTGGAAATTTCTGATTTCAACACGACGATACGCAAAGTGTAACTTAAAGTTTACACACAAACGAAACAGTTTAAACAACATTTCTAGGAATATTCTACTTCTCTAACAACTTCCATCGTTATTTCATGTGTTAAATGTTTGATAATTGATTGCTGCGATTCGACAAAAGTTTACCAGCGCTAAAATTCTATGGAGCATTCAGCTCAAACATAAACGATGCGAGTTTAAGTTTCCAACACATGTTAGCCGCACACATATCTGATAACTTTCAGAAACTTGAAACTTGCCTTCAGATAACCTACCGATCGCTTTTAAATATCTGATACACAAATATTTAGTTTCTTATCCTATATTTCAAATGAAATTTAAATGATTGTGTTAGTGTTTTGAAGTATGGTATGGATACATAATACAACCTAAAATGTTCCATCATATTTCGTTTATCCATGAAAATTAAGCTTAACTACTGTTCTCTATAGCCATTTCGCATTTATTTTGCAAATTTTTCGATGTTGTTTATTCATTGTAATGTTTGTCTGATTTGCTAATTTTACTGACTTCCTAGTTATTTTTTTGTCTAGGTTCAGTGATTTTTTCTTTCCATAACGGAAAAACTGTGGTCTATAACCAACAGTTTTTCCAAACCCAGCTGAACAACGAAGAGACATTTTCATTCATTATGTAGGACTGTTTATGTGTAAAATATTTTCTTAAGGAGCGGTTTTTTTTCCGGATTTATTCATATTCCCAGTCTTCTTTGTTTAAATAAATATATAATAAATATTATTTATGAACAAAACACAATTTATGCAACCTTTGTTTATAAGAAATATTAATAGGCAAGTTTGCTAGGTTTTGTGGTAGCAGTGTTTATAAATACAATATTCTGTATAGATGTACTATGTAGACTGTTAAAAAAAGATTGATTGCCATGCACTAAAAGCGATGAATATTTCTGTAATTTAACATCTATACACATTTAATGTGCTGGTGTTTCTGTTGTTTTGTAATTCCAGAACCATCCGACATTTAGATACGCTGAAAACAATGTCGGGTGAATATTTGTAATTTTCTATAAGTTTCAATCCTAAATGATGTTGAATGTGTTCACCGTTGAACGGACTCGAACTGTACAGAATTTCCATAATTCATCAGCTATTGTTAAAATATTGTAGGAATTATCATATAATCATGAAAAACTGACATGACAATCAGATAACAAATTTGTAATAGAGTTGCCTAGTCAATTCCAGTTGACTATTCATAGCGATCATTTGCATATTAAATGAATTTGAGTCATTTTAATCTCTCATGATTTGCTGTTCAATATAAAACTATTCATTCTAATAGAATTCGTGTTTAAATATTGGTTCATAGCCTTTTTCGTGTTCTAAATAGTTATACAACTGTGGGAATTCATTACATTACATCATTGTACAATTATATATATATCATTATAGACAACGATTTATAAACAAATCTGAAGTAGAAAATTTTTATTATCAAGTACAATTAAAAACCAGGCGGTTCGATCATGTGTGGAGTTAAATATGCGAATTGATGTAAAATAACCATTCACTCTTTATAAATATTTCTATGTATTTTTATTGATATGATTAAAAACGATATGTTATTAAGTCTATTATTTTTAAACTTTATTAAAATTCTATTTATTATTTGTGTTATAGGATTGGTTAGTTGCTGAAATTAAACGACTTGAGCAAATCGAATATTTGGCGAAAAAATTTCGTTTAAAATGTTTGACTCATGAAGCATGGGCAGATGGAAAAGCAAATGCACTTTCGTTAGAAGACTATGAAGGGGCTAGTTTATCGACTTTGCGTGCTTTAGCACAAAAACATGCTTCATTTGAAGGGGATTTGGGTGCACATCAAAATCGAGTGGAACGTATTGTGGCTATAGCTGAAGAACTGAAGTAAGTAAGGGGTCATTTTAATAGGTTTTTAATATAGTTTTGTTTTATTAAGAACCTTTATCATCAACATTATATTTTTACGTTATAATGTACCCTAATGTATATAATACAACTCTTAGCTTGAAATAATACAGCGTTGTCTATCAATCTGTGAATTAATACGAGTTACTTTCATCTTGGCTTAGTCACTAAACATCCCCAAATAATATTTAAATTTAATGCCTAACGACATCATGAGGTTGGTATAAAAAACTCTTATGTTAACATAATTACCCACTTTAATTCATTAGCACGGTTAATGATATGATACGGTATCATGGTCATTATCAAAATCACATAACTTATCCCAGAAACAATATACAATGTTAAATTCTAAAATATAATTTAACTCAATATAATGATATAATATTAGAGTTTAGCTTAAAATACATTTATCCCCATTATATTTCTTTATTTTTCGTTTAAAAAAGACTCAATCGAAGATGAATAACATTCAGCTAAATAATTCAGTCATATTTAGATCTTCAAGATATAGAATTTGGTCAGAAACCTTATTTGGCTTAAATAACTCAGCAGTTCATCCCAAATTTAACCTATTATGAAAAATCAAACTTTTAATTTACGAAGAACGGATTATTAAGGATACTATCATCCCACCCCTCTTCCTAAACCGACCTAAACGAAGGACTCTTCTAAAACCAAATGAGTTGGTTTAACTCAGAAATGCAAACCACTGAGTCCGGAATCCAGTGGTTTAAACGTAATATTTATCCACAATATCTGGAAGTTATGAGTTTGGTTTGATCTAGGATTGTGATTATGGAGTATCAAACAACAACTAAACCGTTGTCTAAGGCTACCGGATTTTTAATGATTTTACAGTTGATATCAGTCTTGTTAAATCTCGATAAAAAACTATTAGGTATTGAGAGTATTCAGTTGGACTACTGTAAATTCTATTCACCAATAATTAGGAGACTTTTATTACGAACAAGAGTGAATATAAAATCAAACAGACCAGATGTCTGACACACAAAAAGACATCAACATTGATAAATGATACGCTCATGGGAGACAGAGAATATGGCCCTTTCAAAAAAAACTTTGTTTTTGACCGAAAGAACAACATTGTTTATGTAGTAAAATGAAATGACTTTGAAACACATAATTTTATCACAGCAAAAACGATAACAGCTAATCAGATAATAGCAGAAGTTAATTACTTACTTCCATACGCCTGTTAGCTCTCATAGAGGAGCACAAGTCGCTTACCAGCATTTTCCATCAAACTCTGTTTTGGGCAATCCTTTCCATTTCCTATTCATCCTTTTCATGTCTGCTTCCAGTTCCCGACGCACTGTGTTCTTAGGCCTTCCTCTTTTTCGTTTCCCTTCAGGGTTCCAAGTTAGAGCTAGTCTCTTGATGCAGTTCGATGATTTCCTCGATGTGTGTCTTATCAACTTCCAACGTCTTTTCCCAATTTCCTCTTCATTTGTAAGCCGTTTTGCTCTCTTCCACAGTAGGTTGTTGCTGATGGTATTCTGTCAACGGACACTGAGTATCTTGCGTAGACAATTGTTTATAAATACTTGTACCTTTTTGATGATGTTTGAAGTAGTTCTCCAATTTTCAGCTCCGTACACTAGAAATGTGTTGACCTTCGTATTGAAGATTGTGACTTTGATGTTGGTTGACAGTTGTTTCGAGTTCCATATGTTCCTCAACTGTAGGAATGCTGTCGTTGCTTTGCCAATCCTCGTCTTTACGTCTGCATCAGATCCTTCAGGTTCATCTATGGTGCTACTCAGATACGTGAGTTTCCACCTATTCCAGAATTTCTCCATTAAGCGTGATTCGGTTGTTGTTGTTGCTCTCTGTGTTGTATTTGAGTATCTTTGTTTTTCCCTTGTGTATGTTGAGGCCTATTGCTTCAGGCAGAAGCTTCTGCCACACTGGTTGTCTTGACCTGCATTTGTTTGTGTGTATGGGATAGGTTGACTAGGTCATCTGCAAAGTTCGAATAGTCTAGTTGCATCCAACCTGTCCATTCTATTCCGTGCCTCGTAACGCTATTTATTCAGTTGTCCAGTGCTATTTTAGCTTCAGTTTCATCTTGATCACAACTAGGTGGTGAACTGAAGCTATGTCAACTCTCCTGGTTCTTATTTCTTCCATTGATTTTTTGAATTTTTAGTGATCCAAATATGATCTATCTGGTTCTCCCTAGTTGTGGTCCAGTAAGATTCATATAGCTTTGTGCGTGCGTTTGCGTGAGAATATTGTGCTGCATATTACCATTTTGTCGAATGCATATAAACTTGGAAATATCTCACCATTCTCGTTCCTTTCTCCCAGTTAGTCCAGGGATGGTGAGGTCCTTTCTTGGGCAATTCGTTATGATTGATTGCAGCCTCTCATAGAATTGATCTTTATTGTCATCGTTGCTATCACTGGTGGGTGCATAACATTGGATAACATTCATTGTGATCCCCTCCTTCTTTGTTTTGAATGATGCTCTGATGATTCTAGATCCATGATATTTCCATCCAATAAGTGCTTTTTGTTCTTCCTTGGGCAGCTTCAATGCAACTACCTGAGTGTGAGGAACGTTTTCCTCTTCTCTCTCGTACCTAACATTGGCTGTCCACCTTGGGTCCAGTGGGTTTCGCTGATTCCGACAACCGCCAAGTTGTATCTCATCATTTCCGTAGCTATTAGACTGGTTCTCTCGGTCTCCCACATTGTCCGGACTTCCCATGTACCTATAATAATTGTTACTCTGGTTTTTAGAAGGGGATTGGGCCTTGCAACTTCCGAAGAATCTCAGCTTTCATCTTGAGGCGTGATAATTTTTCCTTCAACTTCCAGGGCAGAGTTTAAATGGTTAAAATTATTTGTTCTGGCTAGCGCTTTTTTAGCAAGGTTGTTTTCTACGGAATGGGGTTTCCGATCCCAGGTTCAACCCTTTTACTCGGGCTTGAGACGGGCAGTAGCCCTAGAAAAGCTAAGGGTGGAGCTCAAGTTAACTAAGTTGATATGAATTAGAGAAATGTCACTGAGGTTATTTTTTGAAGAAAGTATTGAGATATAATCATAAAAACCTAGATAACCTGGACTCTTTTAAGCAAATTGTTCCTCAAACCATCTTCAAAATGAACTTACCTGTACACATTATTATGTTATGTGTTTTTAACCTGTTTCAATTTATTTAATTTATTTACAAAATAAACATCCTACTATATCATTATTCTGCTCACTTGTATGTTTCAACCACATCTTTGCTTGTTGACTACAACACTAAATTTAGAAATTCATTGTTATTTAAGTTACAAGGGCGTTCCCCATCCCAGTGATTAACATTCTCATTGATAGGCTTCTCTGATAATACATTTCGACAATGTACATCATATATGTTTAGTAAAGAGTGGACTAAATTTCTAGTACGCAACAATTTATCACAAAGTGTACTAATCATATTCGAGTCTTTCACGAGCGTTATATAGTGTCGATTAGTTAGGATCGAAACGATTTTATGATACTTGAGAGCCGAAACCGGAATTCACTGACTGTTTCATCTTTAATTAATCAGCTCTAGTAGACGAACAGCAATAATACTAAAGGTTATTTATTTAAATTCTTTGTAAAATCATCACATTTTAACCAATGTATGTTGTTGTTCTAGCTCCTTGAGATATTTCTTGTCTTTAGCTCATTCCTATTTGATTATGTCAAGTAGAGTGAAGTGTCATGGTTACAGAGAAAGAATACAAGATAAGAGATTATATTTATGAATAAATGTATAAAACTTCGAATGCTAAGGAGACTGTTGTCACTATAGAACACAGTTATCGTTACTCGTATATTTAAAAACTCAGCATTTTCACCATGTTATTGATATCCTGTTGTTTTTCCCTTAGTGAAATACCTACTTGGGAAATGTTTTATCACAATATCAAATTCGCGATCAGTAATCGGTTGTTTTGATAGAGTTTAGAGATACCTAGTAATTCTTGTTTTGTGCTAATTAAAAAGGTTTAACTCAAACTACATGTAGAAGCAAGGTAATAATCATACGACTGATGGAAATGTAACAGGTCATAGTTTTTCTAACTATTTACTCATTATATTTTATGAATACGTAACTTTATTCTAATTTTGTAACACCACAAACATTATGTTGTCAAATTGAAAAATACAAAATGTCAACACGAATAGGATTATTATACACTACATATTAAATTATTTAACAAACTGTTTATTGATTAGTATGAACAAAAATATTTTGGTATTCAATATAAAAATAGTGATGTAAATCATTGAGTGATAACAAGTTCGTCCACTTAGGATAGAGCTACGGTGTTTTGTGTGATACCTAATAACACCTAACTAGTTCCTCAAGTTAAAATAAGTCTAGCAGGTTTCGAACTTTTAACCTAATACCTTTAACTAATAAACTTCTAATTCACTAACATCTTTCCATAACTATTATATGCATTGTATACATATACAATATGTCACCACAGTTTGTTAGTGAATTTCTCAATTAATTTAACATAACACAATAAAATGCAATGAAATCAAGATGAAATGATTTCAGTAACAAACAACAACAACAAAAACCCAGTAAAATAATTGAAAAATTATAAAATTCAATAAATTTTTCAATATTGTGCTGTAATAGTTTTATACAGAAAGTTTATAAATTTTAATTACTTTCATGTGTTAAATCAGGATAGTTATTGATTGTACTTTTTGTATTTTGTTTTCCTTGGAGTGTACATAATTTATTCATTTACAATAAATCACACAATTCATCTGTGTAAGTTTACTGACGAAAAACTCACATTTATTATTTTTTCTTCTTTTCCTATATACATTAAACAGAGGAGTTGTTGAATATTATTAGTTAAGTCATTCATATATTCATGATATTTAATGAATATCATATGATTTCAATGAATTATTTGTAATGCAATGCACTTTTTTTAGTTTAATCAGTT